CCCCCCCCCCCCCCAACAACAACCAAAAAAAAACCTGCACCCCCAACCGAAAAAAAACAAAAATAAAATAAAATGGACGGGAAAAATGCAGAAAAACCATAAGGAATTTACCGATTTGATGTTCCTATCCTCGTCATCAAAAAAGAGCATTGAGTTGAAAGGTACACCAGTTCTCCTGTGAATTTTCTGAAAATGCTCAGTCTTGTGGGTAAAACTGGAGAATATTTCCTGTATCAATGCAAAAGCAGTGAATCCCCCTTCACGAATCGCGGATATATAAGCATGTATCGAGGGGCGGAGCCAGGATTTTCATCTAGCTTAGGCACTCAATCAGAAATTATTTGGAATAATTCTTAATAGACATTGCTTCAAGGTAAGAGAAGTAAAAATTATGAAGCAAGAAATAAATTTAAGTGACATAAAATTAAACATATGTGAAAAATAACATATAAATATTTTTATGAGTTATTGCAAAACATGTTATGAGAATCAAAAGGTGAGGATTGGAAGTAAGAATAAAATTAAATATCATGAATTTCATAGATCATAGTTAATTATTTTAATATGACAGTAAACTCACAAATGTTCCCTTTCAAAGACAAAGCAAACACATGTAAATAAGGTTAGGCACAAATATCTTGCTACAAACAAGTAGCTAGTAAGGAGCTTAAGACTTTTAGCGGATCTTCCAAATTTGAGGTAGGGCATGTGTCCTACCTCAAATGTATGTGCTCCGCCATTGCATGAATCATACATTCTCAAAGAAACAGAGATTTATAGGTGTGAACCAAACATGACTGAAGAACTGCTTACATAGAGATATGAAAATAAACATAATAACTTGCAAAGCTACAATGCCAATTAGTAAAGACTAAATTGGCAAGCATTTACTAGGACATTTGCTCCAGGATAATTTTGGTCACAGAACATTTAATAAACAGTACACTATTATACCTCAGCTTAGCGATAAGTACACGTTATTTGCTAAAGATCCATAATGATATCATATAAGAAATATAAAAAGTGCACGCATTGGGATGAAAGAATTATAATTAATATTGCTCCTAATGGGACTCACTTTTGCTACGAACATTGACTGAATACCCAATTTATTGAGAAATGTAGTTGCTATATCAGCTGTTGGCGATCTTGAAGCGATTGCTACATCTATTCCTTTGTCCTTGAGAGCATGTATTATGCCCTTAGCATGAGGATATAAAGATGGCATTTCCCTTTTTGAGCGACATTCACTGGTAGAGAAAGAAGCAAAAATATGTCAGATGTGACTCCAATTTTTATAGGCATGACTCTAAGAACACACAACTTTTTCCAACTCAATGTCAATTAGACATAATTTATGACATTCATAAAGAAAGAAAGAAACAAAGACTGTGTTCCATTCACATATTAAAAGTGACTAGAGACATTAAAAAAAAGAATAGAAACTAGCACATGTGAAATTTTATATTCCTTCAATAGCTTGATTGTGGGTGGCGCAGGCTGATGAATTATAAACAAAAACAGTTACCAAGTTATAGACAAAGTTGATTTAGAGAGTACAGCATCTAATCAGAGATAGTTTTCAGACAACAGCAGTATGTGTGTGTGTGTGTGTGTGTGTGCACAGAATGCATAGATTATGGACATTATATTGTTGCACAATTTAGGACCCATTTGGTTGACAGAAGTAACAGAAGTGAGAAGTAAATCAAAGATGCAACTTCCAAATTTATGAAGTAGGAAGTAGCAAAAATAATACTTTTTTGTTTGTTCACAAATTTTTGGAAGTAGTGCAAATACTGTTTCTTCCACTTCGTTCATTGTTTTTTTTTTTTTTTTTGACAACAATTATAAATATCATTACAAATAGAAAAAGATGATCTTTCAAGATTTATCTAGAAATGGAGAATATCCAAGTAATATAAAAATTGATCATATTACTACATTGATTCAAATTTCCGGTACTTCTAAGGTACTTCTGTGCCTTGAGGGACGTAAAAGCTTTAGGAACTATGATACCACATAGGCGCCACGTCAGTAATAAGGAAGTACCTGAAGTGGTTTTTCCAAAGAAACAAATAGATTTTTAGGGGTCATTTGGATGGCATGAAGTATCAAAGAAGTAACTTCAAAGCTTATGAAGTAGGAAGTAGTACTTTTTTATTTGTTTTTTTCAAAGTAGTAGAAATATTATTTCTTCATCTTTAAATACTTTTTATATTTGGATAGCAAATGGAAACATCACTAGGAAGAGAGATGGCAGATCTTTTGAGATTTTATTTAGCGTGAGAAACATCCGCGTTATTAAAAATTATTTTTATTCTTAATTTAATGCATATTACAAGTAGAATGTCCTAAAGGCGCCGCATCATCATTTTAGGAAGTGTGAAAGTAGCTTTTCTAGAAAAATAAATAATCTTTTTTTTTCTCAGAAGTTGCAGGAGTAGCCTCTACTTCATATCTACTTCCATGCAAACAAACCAATAGAATTCCTTTACTTCCTACTTCATAGCTAACTTCCATGCAAAAAAAAAAAATCATTGGCTTCACAATAGTTACAACCAAAAGAAACCTTTAAGTAGACATTTCACTAAATATTTGGACAAAATTTCAAAACCAACCCGTTTTGAATCTTAATCTCAAAAAAAGACTCGTTTCAAACTTAATTTCAAAAACAAACCCAGTTGGCTAAAACTGGGTCGGATATTTGAAAAAAAGTTCTCAAAATTCACGGGAGTTGAAGTCCCGTGAAGTTTTTTACGTAACAAAACTTCACGGGGCTTCAACTCCCGTGAAGTTTGGGAATTTTTTTTTAAACCAACCCAGTTTCAGCCCACCTGGGATGGTTTTTGAAATTAAGTTTGAAACAGGTTGGTTTTTGGGATTTTTTGGCAAAGAAGTCTGTTTTGAAAATTTGTCCCTAAATATTTTCATCAACCATTTAGATAACTAGCTTGCAAATGCAACCAACCTATCAATTTCGATAAAATACTTCAACTCAACGACTTCATAAACATAAAGGAGGTAATATAACTAAATTTAGCGAAAAAATAACTCAACAAGGAAAAAAAGAATCTAATTAAAGGACGAAAATGAACTGACCAGTAGAAAGGCCAAAGGGTGTAGTCGAGATCGAAGACGACCAATTGAGGTAGGGTTTGGAAAAGACCGATCGTCCTCAGAGCCTCCTCCTTCACCCTCTCCTCCCCCATTGAATCTCTCTCTCTCTCTCTCTCTCTCTAAAAATCTGAAGGCTGGACGGACGGAGTAGAGGACTGGAGAGGCAAAAGACTTCTGGCTGGATGTACATGGGCTTCAACTGGTCAAAGGGCTTTTGGCCCATTTTATTTATTTTATTTTTTTCCAAATAAATCAGATATTTTTATAACATTTACAAAATATTACACATGTGATGATGATAAGCGGGCAACAAGCTGCCCTGCTAATCCTTTTTGAATTACAAAACCCAACCTACGAAACACGTACTCAGCTAACCCTGCTGTCGCCACATTCCTATTCATGAATTTTTGTATCATCCTGAGGAACTCCACCGCATCAGCTGCAAGGTAACCAAACGTATCGAACACGAACGAGATGAAATTGTGATGGTTGTCCTTGCAAGCTTGATCATGTTTGCCCACATTTGCCTCTGTCGCCCTATCCGTTGCATGCCCAACCATGAACACTCCATTAACAAACCCCCACCAACGGAGACACCACCGTGAGATCAACACAAACGTGCTCCCCCCGCTCCAACTGTAGATAAGAATGTCGGCCGGCCTTTAATTTATTTATTTCATTTTTATTTTATCTTTTTTTTTTAATTTTCAAATGAGTTCGCTTGCTAAATAGTATAGGCTAGATTACTAGGGCTCCTATCAAAACCCAGCGCCACGCAGGGCCCCATAAAAAAGAGATGTCAATAGCTGAGAACGCCCCGCAATGGGATCCGATAAATAGATGAAGAACTCCAGGGGGAAAAAAACCCTACCTAAATTAAGGTTATTCATAGATCACAGTGACACCACACAAAATGCCCTTCTGCAGTCGCAGAATCAGCCTGCGATATCGTGCTCCTGCATTTTAATCAAAAACCTGCAACCTCTCAAAAGCGTACAACTCTTTCCATATTTCTGACAGAGGTATAAGTATAACTTACAGATAACTAAAATAAAGATGAAGA